GGAGCATTTGTGTCAAGGTTAAAGACGGAAGACTGCATCAGCCACTTAGGAAAGCTTACCTTCTCCCGACCCCAAGTCATCCTCCAACCACACTGCTTAATGCCATTGGTGTGTGAGACGCAGAAGAGGCTTGAAAGAAATCGATTTTCTGCTGTCTGTGGGGCCGCAAATTCTGTGGGGGAAAAAACAAAATGTGCCAAATTTCCTCACTCTACAATGATGAACCCAAAGGCTCACAAAAGGTACTTGACTTACTTGAAGTCACAAGTATCTCCACTCCTGCGGGGATGTGCTCTTCTGTCAGTCCTTGACCTTTCTCAAATTGTCAGTGTTGGCGAGAGTCAAAGTAGGCTAGTCACTCTATGAAGTGATTGGCAGCACATGGACTAAATATTCAATGGCCATTTTAATCAAATATGTTGCTAAGTTGTCTTCCAAAATCACATACTGCTCTTGTATACAAATCCATTTGCAACTCCCAAAGCCCAAAGCTAGATTTTCCTGATAAGCTGTGGTCATTGTCATCATCTTCATTCACTTTATCCTGTAAATTAAAGGTCTCTGTATTATTACACAATGTTAGGGGCAGGCACGGGCCTACAGCTTGTTTAAGTGCATGAAGAGATTCCTGTGTCTCTGTGGGCCAGTGGAGTTGAGCAGCACTCTTTCTCCTCCATAAGTTATCTCACATTTTTTCCTACAGAATCCTGATTTTTCTATCCATGCTAACAGTTTTATAAAGAACATACGCTCTCTGGATACAGTCTTAGTGATGAAATGCTTCCCATTGTACAAATAACTACAAAATAACTCATCAGCCTGAATCCTGGCTTTCCTCACTGAGCAAGCTGTGGGTCAGACTTTGAAGGTTTTTAATAAGCTGGTACTTACTTCATAAATGATATAGAAAGTTATTTTTCATAGCACCTCAAATACTGCACGAGGACTCTAGGAACGTCAACCGAGTAATGAATTCATTATCAATCACCTCAGTTTAGGATGAATTTGGACAACTAGTTTTGACTGGACAGAATGTACTTTTGAGTGTCCTCACACAGAAGTATCATCCCTCAGTGTGAACAGGGTTGTGATGAACCTGGGGCCCTGGAGTTGAAAAGTAATCCGCTCTATCCTTCCATCACTACGTCATGAATGCTTCGTGGATCACTTGGAGGTTATGGTCATTGTCACCCTTGTGAAACCACCAACCCAGCCAATCCCAGCTATGTTATGGTGACCCATCTCTTGGGAACATCCCTCTTTTTTTCAGGCTCCAACTCCATGGGAAGGATGCAAGTTAGAAGGTGACTCTCTCTTTCCCTGAGTGATCTTTGAGCTCATTCACCTCTTACTGCACTGGCTGCTGGTTCAAGGTCAACAACGTTGTTTGTTTCTCTGTTTTGCCAGATCCCAGGTCTCTTTAAGCTAAGTTTGTGCTGACCAGTCTCCCTTAATAACCTTCTCCCTGAACCTTATCCTCAATCTCTCTCTTCAATAACACATGGGACAATCCTGTCTGACCTCCTAAGGTCACTTATTAAAGGGTTTGATAGAAAGGATCTTTGTTTTGTTTTTTTTTTTTCTTAAGGATAACAGCAAGTTCTGGAGTTCTAAGCCTAGCTATCTGACACACAACATAA